ATTTCTCTCTGTGTGAGTTTGTTGCTTGTGTACAGGAATGTTATTGATTTTTGAGTGTTGATTTTGTATCCAGCACACTACTGAATTTGGTTATTAAATCTACAGTTCTCTTGGTGCTTTTGGGGTCTTCTGTGTAGAGTATCATGTCATCTGCAAATAATGATAATTTTATATCTTCCTTTCTTATCCTTATTCCTTTTATTTTTCCCTTGTCTTATTGCTCTGGCTAATGTTTCCAGAACTATATTGAGTGGGAGAGGTAATAGTGTACAACCTTCTCTTGTTCTTGATTTTAGAATGAAAGCTTTCAATTTTTTACCATTTAATATGATGTTAGTTGTTAGTTTGCCATATAGAGCTTTCATTAGATTAAGAAAAAGACCTTTTATTTCAATTTTCTGTATGGTTTTTATCAAGAATGGGTGTTGGACTATGTCAAGTGTTTTTTCTGCATCGATTGAGATGATCATGTGACTTTTGTCTTTGGTTCTGTTAATACGGTATATTACATTTATTGATTTGCATATGTTAAACCATTCCTAAATGCCTGGGATGAATCCTACTTGGCCATGATGTATAATATTCTTAATGATTTTTTGCATTCTTTTTGTTTTGCACCTATCTTCAATAAGGAGATTGGCCTGTAGTTTTTGGTTTTGGTTGGGTTTTTCTCTGGTTTTGGAATCAGGGTAATTCTTGCCTCCAGAGATGATTTTGCAAGTGTTGCTTCCCTTTAAATTTCATTAAAGAGTTTCAGTACTAGTGGCATTTGTTGTTCTCTAAATTCCTTTTAGAATTCAACAGCGAATCTGTCAGGACCTGGTAAATTTTTAATTACATTTTCAATTTCAGTGGCTGATATTGGATTATTTAGAATTTTTATATCTTCTCAATTTAGTGTTGGCAATTTGATTATGTGTAGGAATCTATCCATTTCTTCTGTGTTTTCTATCTTATTAGAATATAGGTTCTCCTAGTAGGTATTGATGATCTGAATTTCTGTAGGATCTGTTGTTATTTCTCCTTTCATCCTAATTGTTTGAATTTGTATTTTTTCTTTCCTCTTTTTGATAAGGTTGGCTAATGGTTTATCAATTTTATTAATTCTTTCAAAGAGTCAGTTTTCAATTCATTGATTCTTTGTATTGTTTTCTTAGTCTCAATTGCATTAATTTCTCCTCTTTATAATTTCCTCCCTCATCTGGGCTTTGGGTTTGATTTAATCTTTTTTCTAGAATTTTGATGTTTAGTAATAGGTTATTTGAGCTCATTCTGTTTTCCTGATGTGGGAGTTTATTGCTACAAATTTCCCTCTTAGGACTGCTTTCATTGCATCCCATAAGTTTCGGTACACTGTATGAGCATTATCATTAAATTGTATATACTGTTTAATTTCATGCTTAATTTCCTCTGCGACCCACTAGTTGTTAAGAAGGATGTTGTTTAATTTCTATGTATTTATGTAGTTTTTGTGATTTCTTTAGTTGTTGATTTCCAGTTTCATTGTGCTATGGTCAGATAGTATGCATGGAATGATTTCAATTCATCTATATTTACTTAAACATGTTTTGTGTGCTAATATTTGATCTGTTTTGAAGAATGTCCCATGTGCAACTGAGAAGAATATGTATTTTGATGTTCTGGGGTGGAACATTCTGTAGACATCTACTAAGTCCATTTGTTCATAGGCTTTGTTTAATCCTAATATTTCTTTGTTGATTTTTTGTCTACTTGAATCTATTTGTGAGAGTGGGGTATTAAGGTCCTCCACTACAATTGTGCTAGTGCTTATTTGGTTTTCCATGTCTGTTAATATTTGTTTTATGTAGTTGGGTGCACCAATATTTGGTGCATATATATTTGTGCTTGTTATCTTTTCTTCTTAGTGTATTCCCTTACCAAGTAGGTAGTGATCTTCCTTTACTCTTTTGATCAGTTTTGGCTTAAAGTTTACATTGTCTGCAAATAGAACAGTGACCCTTGCTTTTTTCTGGGTTTCTGTGGCATTGAGAATTGTTTTCCATCCTTTGACTTTCAGTCTATAAATTTCTTTTGGGGTTAAATGTGTTTCTTGAATGCAGCATATTGTTGGATCTTGTTTCTTGATCCATTCTGCCAGTCTGTTTCTTTTGACTGGTGAGTTGAGACCATTTACATTGATGGTTATAATTCATATGTGTTGGTTTCTTTTTCATGTTATTTTTCTGTTGTTGATTCCCTATCTTTCTCCTCTGTTTGATTGCTTGCCCTCTTGGCAGCTTCTTTCTATTGGTATTTGTGTGTTTGTAGCCTTTGTTATCTCTTTCTAATATATCCTTCGGAGCATTTTGTAGAGCTGGTTTGGTGGTCATGAACTTTTTCAACTGAAGAAATTCGATTCTTTGTCATGGAAGTTGAAAGATAGTTTTGCATGGCAAAACTGTTGAGAGATAGTGTTGCAGGGTACATCAATTTGGGTTGAGGACTGTTTGCTTTTAGGCCTTGAAATACCTCACTCCGGGCTCTGTTTGATTTGAGGGTTTATATTGAGAAGTCTGCTGTGATTCTGATGGGCTTTCCTTTATAGATGATTTGTTTCTTTTTTCTAGCTGCTTTTAATGTTGTGTTCTTGTGTTGAATTCATAATTCTATTTCTGTAGGGGCAAAAGATGCACCTCATGGATAAAGGGGATGGATTTCATTATGTAACCACATAAGTGAAAGATGAGAGGCAGACCAAACCATTAATGGTTTTCAGTGGAATATTTCTTTTTAATTGCCAACCACCTTGTACTGTGGTTATTTATGTGCTTCTCTACCTGGAAAACTTCAGTGGGATTGTCTTATTCATTCTTGCTTCCCCACTGCTTTGCTCTACTTTGTGTTGCTATCACAAAATACCTGAGGCTGGGTGCTTTATGAAGTAGAGGTTTACTCAGCTCATGATGTTGGTGGCTGGAGGATCTGAACAGCATGACACTGGCGTCTTGCAAGGGCACCTAGGCTGTATCACAACACAGTAAAGATCTAGAAAGGGAACAAGCTGTGTTCAGGAGGGGCCAAGCACATTGGTACCTCACTTTATAATAGCCCATTCCCACGAGAGTGAACTCACCCCATGACACCACACTGTCCCTTCCAAGGTGGTGTCTCCATGACCAATTCCTTCCCACCTCTTGAAGGACCTGCCACCTCAACACTGCCGCACTGGGGCACAAGCTTCCAACACGTGAACTCACAGGAGACACTTTAACCCATACCTCATCCACAGCACTCGCTTACCCAGCACTTATTCTTGGCCATGCTGGGTTTAATATTGTCACGGCACCGGACTGCTGATCATTGCTTACCTAGTTACCACTGCACTTGAACTGCACATGGTTAACTTCATGCAGCCACTTACTGATTGACTGATTAATTGATTGATTGTACCGGAGCTTGAACCCTGGGCCTTCACCCTGGGTTACATTCCCAGCCCTTTAAAAAATTTTTTTATTTTGAGCCACTTGTGATCCACCTGCCTCAGGCTCCCAGAGTGCTGAGATTAAAGGTATGCCCCACCATGCTTGGCTACATGCAGCCACTTTACAATTTTAAGTCTAAATCTTAAAATATTATATTATTAAATATGCTGACTTTTCCATGGTACGTTCCTTATGACATAAATCACAGTAATCCTTAGCAGGAAGCAAAAGAATACCTAAATAAAAGATTCAAATAGTAAAAACGCTGCAGGAAGCCAGCACTATTTAAAGCTCACCTTTTCCCTGCAGGTTATTGTTCAGAAAGACAGGCAGCAAAGACCAACACATCCCTGTGCCCTGTGAGCCTCTCCTCCCCACAAGACGTCTCTCAAGACTCTTGTCTGTGTGGGTTATAGAAATGGCGTTATCTTGGGCAGCATTTTAATTGCTTGTCTCAGGAGCCAAAGATACTTCTACTCTGTCACAGTGTTCACTCATGCAAGGAATGCTTAGAAGCTTGCCGTGGGCTTGCATGATTATGGTTGGCCCGAGAGCTATACAGATGAAGAAGGCAGGGTCCTACTCTCAAGGAGTCTCTGATTTCATTTTTGTTGTTTGTGCCCCAGCACCAAATAGCATCCTGTCTTTTCTTCCATGAAGCCTAGCACGGACTCAACTCTGGGTCTTTGCACTGAATTATCACAGGTTTCATGCTGGTCTTTTATTTCACTCATCAGGGACACACACAGTGTGTGCTCTGAAATGAGTCTGGGTCTCGCTCTGTGCCTTGGTTTCTCTAACTGGAGTATCTGCCCACTCTGTAAACTCTCCGGGGTACTGGGAGGGTCCGATGGGCCTGCGGATGCTGAGCGTGTGGAACAAACAGAGCTAGATACCCGCATCCTGTGTAACTGCCACAGTCTAAGGGGAGTCCGGACATATGTTAGAGAAATAAAAACATTGCATACGGGCCTTTCGCCTCTCTGAATCCTGCTTTTTTCTCCTTTGGAATGAGCCAATTACCAGTCAGTAATTTTCAAACCATGCTGCAGAAAACTCTATGAGCTGGGAGGAGATCCTTCTGTCCCTATGCCTGCAACCAGAGCAGCCATAATCTTTTATGCCCTCCACCCCATTTTATGTAGTTGGCATCTATGTTAGATTTAAATTTTTTAAATAAAAAATCCCGCAGCTAAAACATGAAGGAAAAACAAAACGCTGATCAGCAATGTGCAGGGCCGCCTGCTCCTTCCTTTGTCTGCACACGCGCTCCCATGTTCCGTTTGCTCCGAGCGTGCGCCAGCCTCTTGTGCGCGCCAGGCTGCGGAGGCCTCAGGCACACAACTGTCTAGAGGGGGATTTGGCCACGAGGCTCTAACCTGCTTGACTTCTAGGTGCGCGCACACACACAGATGGCCATTTTTCATAGCAGAATTCTTTTGTCTGAACCTTTGGCATTTGCGGGCTGAGGCAGAAATTCAACAAGCACTTCTTCCAAATGCTGAAAAAATTTTGTTGGACCCAGACCTGGCTTGAGGTCTCGAGCTGGGTGGGATGGGTGTGTTTGGTGGGGGTGGAGGGTGGAAGGCTGTGAGAGCAGCGCCACCATGTGGTCCTAGGATCACTATCCAGAGCAGAGACGGACCAGCCCAGAGCTAAGGGTGGGTCCCTACGTGGCTGCGCTCCTGGAAGGGGAGGCCAGGTGCGTGTGTGTGGGTGGCTTCTGGGGCTGGGAGGGGACTGGAGACCCGCTGAGAACGAGCTGGCTCAGCCACCTGCCTTGGAGCCTTCCTGAGAACCACCATACTACTGGGGCCCAGGAGGCCACAGGCTCTTGGTGTACGGTTGTAGGGTTGTGTGGCCGTCACCAGTGGGACATATCTGGATCCGGAAAGAGAGAGCAAGGCTTGGTTGAGGGGAAGATGAAATAAGATGTCAGAGACAGTGCAGGCAGGAACCCCAGGTCCTCAGAGGCTCCCGTGTCTGACGCTCCCTCTCCTACTCAGTGGATTGGACATAGGTGATGACAGTGCTCGACTGGCACGTGTGACCAATGGCTGCTGTGCAGGACGGCACAGGTCTGGTGCGGGGAAGGGAGCGCGCACGTACGCGCGCGCGCGCGCACACGTCACAAAAGGTACAAAGTTCCGTGGTGGGAGAGACTGACTTAGATTGGCCATGTCAGGAAAGGTTTCCTGGGGGGGGGGTGGCATTTCTAGCGGGCCTTGGTGGTTACACGAGACGTGAAAAGTGAAGAGACGAGGGGAGTTGCGGGTGGAAGAGGCTGGGTGCGTTCACACAGGAGCCAGCAGGACGGGGGTGGGTAAGTCAGCCTGGCTCTCAAGCCAAAGCCCGCCTGCCATCTGCATCTCTGTGATCTAAGAGCTAAGAACAGTCTTTACATTTTTAAAAAATCAAAAGAAGACTATTTCTTGACACCTGAAAGATATAGGATACTGAAATCGCCGTGTGCAGAAGTGAAGATCTCTTGGAACACACTTCCCTTCCGTGCCATGGAGGGAGCAAAGCCGAAGTCGGATCCAGGGGCCCCCACCCCAGCGGTGGTCCCTGTGGTCCAGCCATAGGCCCGACCCCCACAAGGACCTCAAAACAGTCCACTCTCCAGCGGAATGAACCCCAGACTCCACCCGCTGAGAAGCCCCGTTGATGAGAGCCTGTCAGTGGAGCCACTCGTCCACACACCTCCTGGGCATGGGAGGGCACGGGGACCGCTCCCCGAGCACAAACGCCCCCACACCCCACTTTCTTCCTGGCCACCAGGGCCCGGCTGGTTAAGTTGCGTTGATGGTGACCCTCAGTCTATCGGTTTCACCATGGGGAAATAAAGGCCCAGGGAGAGAAAGGACGTTGCCACATCCCTTCCGTGCCCACCTGCTGCGTCTGTCGGCTGCTCCAGATCTCTCACTGCCACAGGCAGCCGTGCACAAACGACTTGGGGTCAGAAGCTCTGTGGGCTTGACCCTGAGGCGCTGCTAGGTGTATGGGGTTTGCAGAAAGCAAAGCCCTGCTGATCTGGACTCGGCAACCTCTCCAGCCTCATCCCAGATGCCTCACTCCAACCCTTTCCCCCGACACATTCTCCAGCCACCCTGGGCACTGTACCCCAGCACACCACTCTGCTGCTCACCCAGGGCTTCGCCTCCAGGAGAGGGACTCCTGCCTGCACGCACTGGACTTCCTTCTGCCCCACAGACAGCCAGCTCTCCTTGCCACGAGACCAGCTTGCACACCACACCCTCTGCCAGCTCCCCACAGCCACCTCTGTAGCAGCTGCCACTAAGGACCATGCCCGACTTCCCACTGTGAATGCAGAGCTTGGCACAGTATGTGTGAGAGGGACCGCTAGCCAGGGAGCCTGGGCTCGGGGATGTTCCCATTGCAATCAGTACAGCTGCCTCCCCTGCCCCTTCCCCAGCTCTTCCGGCAAAATGCCCTTTCTTTGCAGCAGAGGGAGTGACAGGTGGGCCTAGCCACGAGGCCGGGGAGTACGCTCCAGCAGTCTGCAGTGCCCGGTCCCGCTGTCTCCTGGCTATTTGCATGCACCGGCATTCTGCAAGGTGACCAGGCGGTGGCGCCAAAGTGCTGCCCAGAAGAATAGCTTCCTGGGAGTCAATCAGATGCTCTGTGGCAGAGGGTCTCTTCGCACAGGGCCAGAGCCATGTTGGTCTTCCATCGGTTCTCCCGCTTTGACGAGGGTCTTTGACAAAGATCAGGTAGTAGGCTCCTTGAAGTTGAAAGTCAGGGAGGCTCTGTTCATCACTGTTTTCCTTTGCTGGTCTCTGGGTCTCCCTTTAGACCCCAGCCCTGCCCAGCACCAGGCATTGTGTGGAGAGTGAGAGAAGGATGCTATACTAGGACTGGCAGGGCCCCGTGCACTTCCTGAGCTGGGATTCTCACGATCACACAGATGTGGATGTTCCAGGTGCAGAGGCCGGGAGCCGTGGGAAACTTGGCCATCACTAAGAGCTTGTGTGCCTGAAATGGATTATAGGTCTTGGAGACGTTGATCTTCTCCCCTTGAGGGTGCTCCAGGAAGGTGGGAGCCCTCCAGGTATTGCAGACAGTTAAGTTAGATAGAAATGAACAATCAGAGAAGGACCAGGCCCTTGAACGAGTCAGTGCAGAAGAGACACACCAAGATTGTGGCTGAAGGCCTCCGCAGGGACAGGCAGCAGCTGGAGATTGTACTGTAATTAGCACCACCTGGTCCACTGAGCCCAGATTAAACCTCAGGCACCTGGTGGGTAACCAGGACGCCCTGACCCATACTCCCATCTCTGTCCAAGAATGCCTTTGTTCTTTCTGCGTTAGACCATACAGACAAGCTGAAGTTGGTGATACCATAGACCTTTGCCAAGTGCCTCGCTTCCCTATTGGATCAGTGTTAGCTGATACGTGTAATCCAATAGGTTGGTTGTGGTTTGACTCATAGTTATCCAGCTTGCGATTTGCTGTATAAAATGCTCTTGACAAAGAATCTTAGTGACAGCTCACTTATGACCCTTCGTGTCTTTCAGAAACTTTCTTCTCATAAACGTCTCCTACTCTTAACCTCCTTGGTCCTTATGTCCATTCTTAGGAGACACAAGCCTGGCACATCTGACATACAAGCGGGGAGTCCTCTCCCCGTGACACAGGGAGCAAGTGGCCTCATTATTCTGCAGTTACTACTATTTCCCGCACTGGCTTAACCTCAGTGCTGTAGGGAGGCACTGTCAAATACGGTAGCCACTGGTTCCTTGGGACTACGTAAATATGTTCATTAAGATGAAATAGAATGTAAAACCCAGTCCTTTAGTTCCACTAGCCACATTTCAGACACTCAGTGGTCACCTGTGGCCGATGACTACCACATGAGACAGCCCAGCAATGAGCATTTCCAGCCCTGAAAGGTCTGGGCCGCCTGCATCCAGGGCTGGCTCTGTTGGCCTCTGCATGGGGTGTGCTTTAGGATTTCGCCGTGTTCTGGCCCTGTGGTACCCTCCCTTCCAAGGGTAGGGTTATGGCAAGGATGTGAGAGTTTCTGACAGAGCTAGAATTAAACCCTGACTTTGCCGTTTAATGTATGTGTGGCCTCCAAGTCACTTAACTTCACTCAGCCTCTGCTTTCTCACATATGGAGCGGGAATAACGTTGCCCAGCTCCCACAGTCGCCATTAAATGAGGCGCGGGAGGTGAGTCACGGAAGGCAGTGCCGGCTGGTTTTATGGCCTTACTGCTCCCCACCCTGGCTTGTCATTCTGATCAATGATCTACCTGTGTTCAGGCTCCACAGCTCGCTCAAAGGGAGCACAGGGAGGATTCTTAACTGGCTGGAGATCACAGTGCAGGTGGGAAGGTGAGATTAGTGCTCCAAGCAACCTGAAACCACTCCTCGGTGATGCACAGGCCAAGGTATCCTCCAGAGACACGTGACCCGGACAGGCACCGGGTTTACAAGAAGGTTGATCTGAGAAGGTTTCACAGGGTGGGAACAGAGCATGTCCTGAGGCAGCACAGGGCTTGAGCCAAAGCACTCATGGGAGAACAGTAGCGGCAGGGGTCAGTGAAAGATTTCAAGGCGGGGCAGGAGAGGCAGCCCAGCCCAGGACTCACGGAAGGCAGAAACCGAGAGGAAAGTTGGTTGGGAAATCACTCAGGTCTCAGAGCAGGCTGAGACGCTGGGGTTTGAGGAGTGAGGTGGTTGCCAAGCACGTGGGGGCTGGCGCTTGGAGGAGGCGAGCTTGGGGCAGATTGTGCTGGCAGCAAAGGTAGGAGGGCCTATGAGAGACACTTGGGTGTAGGTGGCTATCATCGACCCACCCCAGAGGCTTTCCTGGGCAGCACATGGTACCACTCCGAGAGCTGTTCACACACCCTGAGCTCTAATTCCTGGTCCCAGCACGCTAACCCAGAATGCACTCAATTGGCCCATATGACAGATCCATGCAGGATTGAGAAGGGGTAGAGGGTGGGCATAAGAGGAAATGCATGCACCAGTATATCAAGACCTGCGCTCCTGACTCTCCGTGGGTTAAGACAAAGGACAGCATGAGCTCTGAGATGGACAGAGGGGGTGTGGGGAGTGTCCAGAGACAGGCTGGGTGTCAAATCACATACACATTCACAAGGCATGCACACTCATACAAATACAAATGCGCATGCCTAATCTCTCCAGTTTATGTGCTTATGCCAATCACATCCTGAGACCCTCATAGATATGTGCACCCTCTTGTGGAAACACATATCAGTACATACTTATAGCCAGGCGTGATGGCACATGCCTGTATTTCAGCACTCAGGAGGCTGAGGCAAGAGGATCGCCATGAGTTTGAGGCCAACCTGGGCTACATTAGTGAGTTCAAGGCCAACCTGAAGTGCATAGCGAGACCGTGTCTCAACACCCCCTAATAAAGTACACACATTTATATGCGCACGTTCTCCCTCAAGCCAGCCTCCCTCCTCCTCCTGGAGCTGGGGCTGGCACTGAGCTCACAACAACCAAGCCAAGAAGCATCCATCCTCCCAGGGCCTTCAGTCCATCTGGGAGAGGCTTCTCCAGACTTTGCTTGTAAACACTATTTATTTTGGAAAGCCACTTCTCTGTTTTCAAATAAAACGTTGGGACATGCAGTATTGGATTTCCCTGATCTGACACCGACCTAGAAAAATGTGCTGGCAGGAACAGAAAATGCACTGCCCCACTGTGCTCCTGGCACAAGCGAGTCTCCCTGCTCTTGGCTTTGACTGCAAAGGTTAAGATGTAAGTGAGAGGGGCGGAGCAGTACCCTCTCCATGGAGCTGCAGGAAGCGGAGGCTCCAGTGGGGGCTCCGCAGCCTGTGTGCCCCAGCCTCGAAGGGCACGTTGGGAGAGGCAGTCAGAGTGACTGGAGGCAGGGAGGCTCTGGAGGAACATCTGGTCTCTAGGCCTGCAGACGAGGTCAGGAGAAGCCCCAGGATGTGAAAAACATGGATAAGCCCCAACTACAGGATCCCCACTCTTGTCACCAGGGAGATGGGCAGTGTGGCACGAGCCCTGGGTGAGGTCTGAAGCTGGCACTTGTCTCTTGAAGGACAAGCCTGTAGGAGGCAGAGCTGCTGGCTCCAGATGCTGGTGAAGTTCTCGGCCTGCTTCGAGCTAACCGGAAGCCAGGGGATGCGGTGCGAGGGGTGGGGCAGACTGGAGCCCTGCTCTGCAGCAAGGTCACAGGCCTTTTCCTGGGGGCCACAGGGTCCTGGCTGCATTGGCGACCAAGGAGACTCAGACAGCCGCACCCACAGTAGCTCCTAAAATCCCCGGGCTGGGCCAGCGACTTAATTCAGTGCCTGTTTAGACCAGGGCTCCTACTGCGCCTGCCTCCGTCACGGCCTCTCACGAGGACAAAAGGAGATGAGAAATGTAAAGTGCCCAGCCAGGGGCGGCCCACGCAGCAAGTGTTAATAAATTGGAGAGCAAATCCCAGCTTCCCCACTCAGTGGCTGAATAGCCTGGGTGTTCCTTAATTTCCTCATCTGTAGAACAAAACAGATCATAACAAAATGAGCTTCACTGAAGCTCATTTGCATCCACTGTTGTGGATGCAAAGAGTTAATTCACACAAAGTACTTTAAACAGCACCCGCACTGGATAAACTTGATAACTGATGTTAAACATTATTCTCTCTCTCTCTCTTTTTTTTTTTGGTCTTTTTGAGGCAGGGTCTGGCTATGCAGTTCAGGCTGGACTTGAGCTCACTTTGTAGCCCAGGCTGGCTTCAAACTCATAACAATCCTCCTGCTTCAGCCTCCCGAGTGCTGGGATTACAGGCATGCACCACCACGCCCGGCCTTAAACATTATTCTTGATAGTGTCGCCATGTATTT